CATGGAGTGACATTAATTCCGACAAAAAAAACAATTTGCTGTTATTTTTTGTCGTCTGTCCAATAATGTACACATATCTAACACTGCTTAGGAATATTATCCAATTCGAATCAGACCCTAAAGAAAGATTTTAGCTCATGGTCAGATATAATTAAAGTTACCATATGGAAGGCAATTAAATCAACTTGAACTCGATTAAGAAATTTATTAGTGACGATTGGTCTTGCCGTAACCGGAAAGTTTCGTCTTGTACAAGTTGTTCAATTCTTTAACTCAGAAATCTACAAAAACATATTAAATTTGTTTTTTAATTAATCTTGAATTTAAATTACATACCGTATCCCATAGTAAGAACCAACATGCTTTAAAGCATCTACAAAGTATGTCATATATTCTGTCGACAAGACATACCGGCAAATCTGCTTGTCAATATTCCAAGATTTCGTAAGCTGAATATTTTTTGACCCAATGATCTTTAGCAGTTCCAATAGTTGTATTTAATGGATCTTGAAAAACTTTAATACAGAAATCATAATCTTGTGTAATAAAATAAAGGGTTTAACGACGTCAATTAGCAGATTTACCATCGAGAAATCTAGCAAGCTTTTCGGTCAAAATTACAGTATAGAGTGATTTGACAAGGGAAAACCTTACAAGTCGTACTTTTTGAATATTTACTTTTAATAAAAATAACCTAGAATCAGGCAATTAAATACTTATAATTTTAATATCATTTGAATCATCTCAATGAGACGATTCAAATAATATTAAGAACAGTAGGTAATAAATTGCTTGATTTTAAGTTATTTTTATTAAAAGTAAATATTCAAAAAGTACGACTCCCCTGCCGGCACTCAAGTAAGAATTTCCATTTCGTTTTTTTTTTTATTGATTTTATAATTAATTTAAATCCACTTGTTAAGTGGAATTTAAATTCTCCAACCAATCGAGTCAATTTAGAATTCTGTTTCAAAAATTTGATTTCAATGTACTGTACAACATATCTGATATACTGTATAATAAAAACGGAATGTTTCTTTTGTTTATTTCTTATTTGAATTCATCGATAACAAAGGTGTTCAGCTACCTTAAAACCAATAAATTTATTATTTATTACGATAGCCAATACTGTTATCCATAAATTTGTACAAATTCAGTATATTCGGATTTAAACCGAATCTGAAAAAATCGGATTTAAATCAAAGTTGAATTCGGTTCCAATCTCTAACTATGAGATGCGTTAGACCCGAAGCAGTGCGACGGGTTATATACTAGTTTAATTTTTCCAATGGCTTCTATTTCCATTAAAGAGATTCGGTTTTATTAATTACACTCAATCTAATTAGAATTCTATATTATGGTGCATTTTCATAATCGTGGTTAATAACAAATATTTAGATATTGGCTTATTTGGCAGGCGCGAACATTTTAATCACAATTCTCTTGCTTTTCCTGAACTTTAAATTGATTTTATTTAAATAAATAAATATTATCAATATTAATGAACAAACAGAAAGCGGTTATGTTAGAAAGAATTCTGTAAATATTATCATAAATAGGAAAGAAAAAAAAGATTTAGACAGAATATATATGTATTTTTTTTTAAAAAAAAAATTTTCGACTTACAAAAAATGGGTACGTCAAGAAACAAAATTTCTTTGGAGTTTCATCGACGATTTTTATAAGTTTTTGGTAATTGCTTATGAATTATTTCATTATAAGAAATCGATCAGCCGACTAGTCCGATTTTTTCATTATTGGCCAGGATTATTACTCTCGCTTTTGATGTTTTTCACCAGAATCTTCCATGAAGGCAGTGATTATGAAAGAAATTACAACTGCATTTGCGATGCCAGCAGCAGAGAGCGCAGCTTTCGTTGGACCATTTTCTCCTAAAGAAAGAAAAAAAAGTAAAATTTAACGAATTAGAAATAAAAACCGGATAAATTAGCTATTTACCTTCAAAAAAATACTTGGAAGTATAAAAGTATGTGGAAATCGGAAGAACCACCATGCATAAAGTATGTATATAAAGTTTATAAATAACAGATCTATGAAGTAATAAAGAATTATTTATATATCTAAACAAACTTCGTGCAAATCTCTAAACTTTTTATACCTTGGAACTTCGAGGTTTTTTGTTTGAACAATTGGGCCAGTGGATGACGACGACATTTTTAGAATAAATTTCGCGCGAAAATTTTGTCTTAAAAAATTTAATTTACGAGAATTTATATATTTAGCTATTATGTTACACCATGTGCACATTAAGCATTACTAACGCTAATCTACGTACGGTCCTTACTAAATAACGTTTTTATAAATAGGACTCTTCGTTTAACATTTTGAAAATTTAACATAAGAACAAATACAACAATGCGTAGTACTAGACGTATTGGAGTTGCAGGTTTAAAAAGGCAAATTGCGGCCAATGTAAGATGTTTCATTTTAATGATATTTTAGGTCAATTAATTTATTTTTTTTTGTTGCAATTATATAGGATCAGTTTCGGGAGTTTGGAAACAATAAGGAAGAAATAGAAATGCAGCAGGTAAAATATAAACCCTAATGTAATAAATCTAATATACACATATAAATCATTCTTCATTAAACTAATAGCT